GTAGATACACGAATCAGGGACCAGAACTCGGTTTCCGATGTACCAGTGGTCAGGGAGTTTGCACATGTGTTTCCAGAAGAGTTTCCAGGGATATCTACGGAGAGTCAGGTCGAGTTCAAGATCGACCTGGTGCCAAGTGCGCCCCTATCGCTAAGGCGACGTACCGATTGGCACCACCAGAGATGCAGGAGCTGTCATCGCAGCTTCAGGAACTGTTGGGCAAGCAGTTCATTTGACCTAGCAGTTCTCCGTGGGGAGCGCTGATTCTTTTTGTCCGAAAGAAGGATGGTTCGCACCGAATGTGCATTGATTATCGGGAGTTGAACAAGCTAATGGTGAAGAACCGTTACCCACTACCAAGGATAGACGATCTCTTCGATCAGTTATAAGGCGCATCTTGGTTTTACAAGATAGATTTAAGATCTAGGTATCATTAGGTCAGGGTTAGAGAGGAAGACGTGGAGAAGACCGCGTTCCAAACTTGTTATGGACATTACGAGTTCGTGCTGATGCCATTTGGGCTCACCAACGCGCCAGCAGTGTTTATGGACCTGATGAATCGGGTCTGCAAACCGATGCTTGACTGCTCGGTCATAGTGTTTATAGATGATATCTTGGTGTATTCCAAGACCCGAGAGCAGAATGAGAAGCATCTGCAAGAGTTATTGGGAGTCCTGAGACGAGAATGGTTGTACGCCAAGTTCTCAAAGTGCGAGTTTTAGTTGCGAGAGGTCCAATTCCCCGGACATCTCGTCAACCAGGAGGGGATTTTGGTCAATCCGGCCAAAATCGAGGCAGTTATGCATTGGGAGGTCCCAAAATCTCCCTCGGATATTAGGAGTTTTCTGGGGTTGGCAGGATACTACCAGAGATTCATACGGGATTTCTCCAAGATTGCAGTACCCCTCACTCGTCTGACGAGGAAAGGGGTGGATTTTTGGTGGGGCCCCGAGCAACAAAGGGCGTTTGAGACCCTCCGTCAGTGTTTGTGTGAGGCACCGGTCTTGACACTCCCGGAGGGAGTTGAGGATTTTGTGGTGTTCTGTGATGCATCCATCACAGGTTTAGGGGCAGTCCTCATGCAGAGAGGATGAGTTATAGCCTACACATCACGACAGTTGAAGCCTCATGAGACGAGATACCCTACGCATGACTTGGAGCTGGGGGCGGTGGTGTTCGCCCTCAAGATATGGAGACATTACCTTTATGGGGTCCGCTGTACCATTTACACAGATCACAAGAGCTTGAGACATATCATGGATCAGCCGAACCTGAACATGAGGCAGAGAAGGTGGCTGGATGTAGTCAAGGAATACGATTGTGAGATCCTTTACCACCCTGGTAAAGTGAATGTGGTTGCGGATGCGTTGAGCCGCAAGTCGGCTGGATCTTCTACCCCCACGATATGTATGAGGATAGCGGTGAATTCTCCGTTTGTGATTTTGATCAGAGATACCCAGGTAGAGGGCATATGATCGAAGAATTGGAAGTTGGAGATGATCAAGGGTGAGAATACCAGGTTCGTGCAGGATAGTAGGGGGTTACTGACCCGATGCGGTCGGGTTTGGGTTCCAGTGTCTGGTAGGGTTAGGCAGATGGTTATGGAGGAGGCTCATAAGTCTCATTTCTCTATTCACCTAGGGCCACCAAGATGTACTGGGATTTGAGTTTGAGCTATTGGTGGCTATATATGAAGCGCGGGATTGCTTGGTACGTCGAGAGGTGCTTGACCTATAGGATGGTCAAGGCCGAGCATCAGAGATCGCATGGCAAGCTGCATCCCTTGGAGATTCCCATGTGGAAATAGGAATAGATCACAATGGACTTTATCACAAAGTTACCAAGGACGGTGAAGGGGTTTGATGCCATTTGGGTCATCGTTGATCGATCGATCAAGAGTGCCCATTTCTTGGCCATACGGGAGAATTCGTCGGCCGAGAAGCTAGCCGAAGTGTACGTTCGCGAGATCGTGTCTCGCCATGGGATTCCCGTTTCGATTGTCTCTGATCAGGATGTCAGGTTTACCTCCTGTTTTTGGCAAAAGTTTCACGAGGAGCTGGGCATGCGATTGCACTTCAGCACAACATTCCACCCGCAAACAGACGGCCAGAGCCAATAGACTATTCAGAGCCTCGAGGATATGTTGAGGGCGTGTGTCATCGACTTCGGTGGGAGTTGGGATTCTCACCTACCGCTTGCAGAGTTCGCCTACAACAACAACTATCATTCTAGTCTTGGCGCCCCACCATTTGAGTTGTTGTACGGGCGAAGGTGTCGCACCCCGGTTTATTGGGGTGAGGTGGGTCACAGGGTGATGCGTCGGACGGAGGTGGTCTTGCAGACTACCGAGAAAATTCAGCAGATCAGCAACGACTACAGACCGCTCAAAGTTGGTAGAAGAGTTATGCCGACAGACGCCGATCTGAGTTGGAATTTCAGGTGGGTGATATGGTGCTCCTAAAAGGTCTCGCCCTGGAAGGGTGTGATCCGCTTCAAGAAGAGAGTAAAATTGGTCCCTCGATATATTGGGCCATTCAGGGTCATTTTCAGGGTTGGAAAGGTGGCTTAGAGGCTTTAGCTTCCGAAAGAGCTTAGTCGGATTCACAACACGTTCCATGTTTTGCAGTTATGGAAGTGCATCATGGACCAGGAGGCGGTAGTATCGCTGGATGATATACAGGTCGATGAGCGCCTGAACTACATGGAGAGGCCGGTGGCCATCTTGGAGAAGAAGAAGAAGATTTTACAGAACAAGGAAATACCTTTGGTGAAGGTGCAGTAGGAACACCAGAAGGGATCTAAGTGGACATGGGAGCCGGAGGCAGAGATGCGCTAGCACTACCCAGCGTTGTTCATTCCAGAAGACTTCGAGGACGAAGTCTAGTTCAAGTGGGGGAGAATTGTAACGCCCCGATTCTCAGGTATGGATTTAAGTAAGCATCTCTTTGGTTTTAAGTCCTACTCAATGAGTTATGGGTGCCCTACTCGTCGAGTAGCAGCGAGGTGGGATCGCACATTTACTGACCTACTCGCCGAGTCCATAAAGGTACTCGACGAGTAGGAGCTGGAAGATGAAACCCTAAATCCCGAGGTTCTGCACTCTATTTAAGGAGGCATAAGCCTCATTTGGCCTCCCTGCAGTCAGTAAGAGCTCATAGAAAACCCTAACCATGTATTGTGTCTTTCTTGTGCATTGTAAGATTGGAAGAAGGGCTTGTGGGAGGAAGAACTTGGAGAACAAGGGGATAGGAGAAAGGAAGGAGTGGGAAATCTGAAATATGCCTCAGTTAGCACCCATTGAAGGTATCAAGTCGACATCTTTATCTCTTTTCCTTCTAGATCTCATATGGTGGAAATCTAGAGTTTTATGGTTTGAGTGAGGTGATATTGCAAGACATGAGCTAGATCTGAAGTTGTAACTTCAGATCTGGACCTTTCTCGAGTTCTGGATTCATAAAGTTCCTGTCTCGGTCATGAATGAGCCCCCCCCCCCTCCTTGTGCATGAAACCCATTAAGAGCTTAGTTTTGGCATTAAGAACCTGTTTAGCCATGCATGCACATAAAGTTTGCAACTTTACGTGAAAGGCATGCCCTGGGAGCTTGGATATGTAATTTGGAGCCATTGCATGGCTTAAAATGGGTATGTATGGATTAAGGACTAAAGGAACTCGATGATTCATATGAAGATAGCCGTGGGCTCGACGAGTTGGATGAAAAACTCGGTGAGTCCGATGAAGATTGCCATAGACTCGACGAGTTGCATGAACAACTTGGCGAGTCGGATGAGTTTTCACCAAGTTAGGAACGCGTGTGTATCGATGTATTACTATAAGGAAAATCGACAGGTGGCCATAGGGCCTAAATCGAGAATCGTAGGAACTCGACGAGTCACCCTGGTGACTCGGCGAATGGGTAAGGATTTCAAGGAACTCGGCGAGTAGCCAAGGGTGCTCGACGAGTTAAAGGTCAACATGGACTGTTGACCTTGACTAAGGACTTTGACTTTGACCAGGGTTAACTAGTTGGGTTATGAAGTACTCTGTGAGGATGAAGACTTATGAGCATGTTCGTATTATGGTAATAGGTGGTGGAGTCTTTGACGAGTGATCGGAGAGCTGTGATTTATTTACTAAGTTGACATCTACGAGGTGAGTTATCCTCACTATACTAAGGGGTCTAAGGCACCATGGCCAGCCCATTGGATTCGATATCCTAGTAGTTATTGATATGTTGAGTTGAGTTAGTGATGAATTCCAGTTGATATGCTAGTCGGGTAGATCTGTAGGACTGCCTGTGATACTGTATGATTATTTGTATGTGCTTTAGTCATGATACATGTTGACATGTTATGTGGGATGGGTTGAGGTTGTACTGCTCCGTGCGGTAGCCAACAAACCCTAGAGTATTCCAGATATGAGCTGAGGTCCTGGTAGGCATTCCAAACTCATACTGAGGACTCGGGAGCATTCCAGATACGAGCTGAGGGCCCGGTAGGCATTCCAGACTCGAACTGAGGGCTCGATGACATTCCAAATGCGAGCTGAGGGCCTGGTAGGCATTCCAGACTCGTACTGAGGGCCCAGAGGATAGTCTAGCTTGAAAAGCTGTGGACCCAGTGCATGCTATTCTGTTTTGATTGATATGATATGTTAATGTTGATATTGCTATGTGGACTGTATGTGTATCGGTATTTTGGGGGCAACTCACTAAGCTTTCGGGCTTACATTTTCAGTTTATTGTTTCAGGTACATCAAAGGACCGAGGTAAGGCCAATGCGTGATCGTACAACTCCTATTGTGTTTATGTTTCTAGGAAAAACTCTGATAATCAATATTTTGAAAAAAAAGTTGTAATGTTTTGATGAAATTGACATGTTTTAAAAGTTTAAATTGATTTAAAATTTTGGATGTTACATGTTTACCAAAAAGACCGTTTGATTTTTGGAAGACAAAAGAAATTAAAAATACTTTTTTCATATCTTTTTCGGAAAGACCTAAACATGATGCCTCTTTTAACTGCTGAATACGCTTACCTTTTTCTCATCGTCTCCATCCGCTTTTCCCTTTTACTTGAAATTGCATCCTCCCACTGGCCACCGACAATCTCTCCGCTCTGTCCATACCTCCGACGAACGTCAGTTCTTGCTCCGCCTTCGGTGCTCCTCGCTCATCATCCGTCGCTCCATGTCATCATTGCCACCGCCGACTCATCAAGTATGTTTTGTTCTGTCCCTCTTCGTTCTCCTCTCTCGTTTATCTTCCATTATCCCCCTCTTAGATTGTCTTGTTAGTTTAGACTCCATTAATGATGAAATCCCATCTACCATTTTGTCAAGTAGAAACCTTCTGTGTTGTTGATTTCTCAAATAACTTCTATTTGTCAATTTGATTTTGTTTTCTTTTGTACTTGAATCAAACTACTTCTTGTTCATCTAAGCTTTATCTGTTCCTCTCTTGTGATTTTGTTTAGTTTAAGATGTAACTTACGTTCTTCATTTTTCCTGTTCAGTTCTGTTTTCTGACAGTGGGTATCGATTTGTCACATTATTCTTTGGGAATTTTGTATATGCTTGAGTTTAATCTGTTCTTTCACTCTTCATTCTTGTATCTCTTTTCTTATATCCCTCTCAACTTGTATTATTACTTTAAACTCCATTAATGGTGAAACCCATCTACCATTTTGCCAAATAACTTCCTGTTGTTGATTTCTCAAATAACTTCTTGTTAATCTATTTGATTTTTTTTGTTTTCTACCTAATCTAATTGATTATGCTTTACTTAAAATGTATTAGTTGTTTCTTGTTTGAACAAGTAATTTTTCTGTTTCTTGTTTGAAATCCCTTTGGCACCAAATCTAACCATCAGGGGTATTGTTGTCCAAAATTTGTAGTGTCCTTTCTGTAATTCAGATGTGGAATCAGTTGATGATTTATGTTTGATTCCTTTTTTATTTTAGGAAAACTGGTTATACCATCATAAATGGTTTTTACTTTCATTGAATAAGTTGTATATATATATATATATATATATATATATATATATATATATATATATATATATATATATATATTTGGGTTCATTGTCTATAGCAACATACTTCATAGAGGATGTAAACAATAATTGAACAAGTAATCGGCAAAAACTCAAAAGGGTAGCTTTGTGTTTTTTGAAAAGTTAATTTGATTGTGAGAAAACTTGCATTTCTTTTGAAAGAGAAGGAAAAACTCATAGACTTCAGAGTTTCTCTTTAAATTGTTTAGTTTCAAACTGTTTAGTATAGTACTTTTATTCATTACATGCTTCTAGTGTAATGCTTTTATTCAATTTTGTTTCTTGATCAACTTCATGTTTTTTGTTATCATTAGCTTTAGATTCATTTGAATCAAATGTTTCTATTTTATGTTGTTTTTCTAACATGTTGTAATCCATAGATATGAATCATGAAATTTTTAGTTTTTTAAGTCGATTCTTTCATGGACTTAATTTATAAAGTTATTATATGTAGCTTGTCTAAATGGGAGACAAACTACAATGGTAAAAAAAGCAAGTAAAATGTTTATTAGATACGTGTATCGAAGAGATCAACAGAATTGGAAAAAAGGAGGTAGCATGCATAAGGAGTCTTGGGTTATGTTAGGGAAAGCTCTAAAAGAAAAGTTTGACATGGATACTTCATAAAAACAATTAAAAAATGCTTTTGATAATCTAAAAGCTAAATACGTAGGGTGGAATATTTGAGAAACAAGTCAACGAATTTATAGAATGCTTAAACAAATTCATTTGCCTTAGTGAACACAAAATGGGAAGAATTCAAGAAGGTGTGTCTATATAATTTAATTTGTTTTAGTTTATATCCAATTTTAGTAATGATGTCAAAATACTTATAATTACTATTAATCTTGGTTTAGGGTCACCTAAAGGTAGGATCATTGAGGACACACCCATTGCCTTATCCCAAACTTTGTGCATCTTTGTTTGATGGAAGTAGTGCCGGTGGTAGCATTAAATGAACCTCTACTCAAACGACACCTGCATATATATATATATATATATATATATATATATATATATATATATATATATATATATATCGTCTTCTTCTCATCGTGTCCAAAGACTTCTGATTAATGACAACCCTTTTAATGGCCTAAAAGATGATAATGATGATGCTTCCAATGACACTAGTGCTCGAGCTCCTAGTGATAAATCTCATGGTGGTTCTACTTATAAGCCCGATAAAAATGCTAAAACTACTGATGCTTCTACTGATAGGCCCGATAAAAGGGCTAAAACCAGTGATGCTTCTACTGATAGGATCGATAGGGATAAAGCCTCTAAAACCTCTGTTAGTCTTGATGAGTTGAGTCTTGATATGCAAAAAGCTTTGCAACAATTGGTGAATAGCAAGGAAGGGCCAGCAGTAAAAGAAAATCATGAGAGGTTGAAGCTAGTTGGATTAGATCCAATGGATCATATATTTTTGGCAACCTTTCACCTTTTTGGAATGTCCATTAATATGAGAGAGGCATGTATGACATTGCCACCAATACCTGAGGTCTTAAAAGGGTGGATAAAGATTGACACCATATTAGGGATATTTAAGTAGTCTTTATGCTTATGTTTTTTCTTTCATTTTGAATAATAATGTTTTTCTTGAACTTATGTTTGACATTATGTTTTTTGCTATCATTTGAATGATTGTGTACTTATTTGACACAAATATTGCTAGTATTAGGATTATATGCTTATTTGAAACAAAATGTGTGCTTTGAATATGATACAAATTCTTATGCTTTTTGCTTTACCATATTGAGATTTAACAAGTGTTGATGGTTTAATAGGTTCACAATGGATTATGATAAAAAGTCACACCTCCTAATTGTTATGTATCTTCGCTTTTTTTTTTTTTTTTTTGGAGACGAGGTTTGAAAATAATGCGAGATAATACCTCAAAAACGTCTGGGCATCAATTCACATTAGAGTTATTACAAGGAACTAATAACGAATGCATTGAGCTCTTACATATGTTACATGATTTTTATGTTCGGCTTTGCACACATTTTAGAGTAAAAAGTTGGGTAAAGGATAGTAAGCATGTATCGGTTAAAGAGAAGATGACGATGTTCTTGATGATGATTGGTCACAATCAATGTTATGTAATCATCAAACGTACATTTCAACACTCAAAACAAACGATTCATAAGTATTTTTATGAAGTATTGGATAAAACGCTCGTGTTCGCAAAGGATATAATAGTGACAACTCCCTTTAATCCAAATCCAAACATTCCATGACATAATAGGAGGTTACGAAGGATTTTAAAAGGATCGGTTGGTGCACTTGATGAAACATTGGTACATGCTATTGTCCTTCTTGACAACAACATTTGTATAGAGGAAGGGGAAAAGGTGATTGTTATCAAAATGTATTGGCAATATGCGACTTCAACATGATTTTTACGTTTGTCATGGCTGCTTGGGAAGGGATAACACATGATTCTAGAATATTATCTGAAGATTTAACAGATCCAGATGCACCATTCCCATTTCCACCGCCATGTTTGTTTACATTTTCATTTTAATATTTTTACTTTTATTTTAAATTAATTATTTCTTTATATTTACAGATAAGTATTATCTTTGTGATGATGTGTATACACACACACCCGAGGATTTATGGCTCCTTATCGTAACATGTGGTATTGGTTTGGAGATTTTCATCGAAGACGTGCATTAACCAACAAAGAAAAATCTAATCACTCACATGCAAAACTTCGAAATGTCATTGAGCGTGCTTTTGGTATCTTGAAAGCACGTTTCCCTATATTGAAGAGAATGGCTCCATTTCCATTGGTTACATAAAGAAACATCGTCATTGCATGTTTTGCGCTTCATAATTATATACGAAAAAAGGGATCGAGTGATGAGTATTTTTCTCAATATAATCAAGTCAATGTATCACTTCAAAGCAACAGTGTACAAGATGATGATGATGAGGAGCAGGATGACGAAGATGAGGTACAACCACATGGAAGTGCAAGAGATCGGGAATATATGGTTCATCTTTGAGATCAAATTGCTGACCAGTTAATGCGAACTGTAGAATCAATGGTTTCAAAAAAAAAATGTTAGTTGTGTGAATTTAGTTTTAATATTGTAAGACAATCATCAAAAAAATCATTTATGTTTTTAAAAATATCAACTTTAATAAGTAAGCAGCATTCCAGTTTGAATCGATATATATATATATATATATATATATATATATATATATATATATATATATATATATATATATATATATATATATATAGTTTATCTAATGTTTTAAAAAGTATTATATGTTTAAAACTGTATGAAATTGTTATTGGCAAAGTTTGAATCGGATATAAATTTTAATAGATTAGTAATGTATCAGATGTTAAGTTTTTAGCATTTGGGCTTTGGTTGTTTCAACATTAATTTCAATGATCGATTTTGTCGTTGAACAATGGATATTAATGCAAGTTGATTGGCAACGTCTAAGTATACAATTCTTATTAAGAAAAAAAATCTATTGTGTGTAAGTATACAATTCTTATTGAGAAAAAATCTATTGTGTGTAAGTATACAATTCTTATTAAGAAAAAATCTATTGTGTTTTTTATGTTGCTTTTTCATATTATCTAATATTTTCTTACAAAATACTATAAATCTATTAAGTTGTTTGTAAATATTATCAAATGGTTAGGTTTTTCAATTTATTAAAAGCTAACGTGAATTATTCATATTTTAATATGAGAAAAAAAATTGGTTACTTGATTTCCTTTATTGCAAGATCTCTTAGTTTTAGTTCATTATAATTAAAAACAAACAATCTTTTTGCATTAAGATTTTTTGTATGAATACATAAAAAAAGACTTTTAGTCTACGTCTTCTTCCGCAGATATGGAAAAGGACAAAAGATATTTGAATGCTTCCGAAACAAACAACACCATATTCTCATGGATCTGTAGTATGGTTATAATTCATGAATCTTCTTTGAGTTTGGGGTCATTTCTTGTCATTTTGACCTAAGATGGGTTTAGGACATTAATGTCCATCAAGTAATCGTTTTTATTGGTCTTTGGAGTCCTTGTTAGCTTCTAGAAGAATTAGGATTGCAAGCTTAATGGTTTAAAAACTTAAAAGTTAGATTTTTAGCTTTAGACTACTCTCACGAGGTGAAACACAATGTCTCATGGTATAAGAAACGTTTGATCCCGTTACTGGATTATCTGCTTGGTCCTGTTTCTCAAAATATGTTTATTTATTTATTTATTTTCAACATAACTCTTACTTTATTTCACTTTAATTTCTTCCACATCCTCCATTCTAACTACACTTACTAAAAATATGTTTATTATTATTTTTTCGACATAACTCTTTCTTTAGTTCACTTTATTTTCTTCCACTTTTACTCCCCAAATCTCATTTATTTTTCCTTCTCTCTCTCTCTCTCTCTCATGTTACCGATGTTTTAAAAAATCGGTTTGAACTGACTAGTCGAAACGGTTGGACCGCAAATCGGAGAAGAGAACGATTCAACTATCACCAATTTTATGTTTATTTCTTAACCGAAACAAACCGGCTGATTTTTACAAAAATCCGGTTGAACCTTTTAAATTAAACCAGTTGAACCGGTTAAATTAAATAAAAACAAATGGAATTGAAACATTTTGTATAATAAAATTTGATGGTTTTTTCATATCTATTAAGATTTTTCTAAATAAAAGCATGTGATAAATGTATGGAGTTTTTTGATGCGTTTGTATTCATCTATGACTTTATTTTGTTTCGGTATTTTATTATATTTTTCTTTTTAATGCACGTGAATTGATGTAAAACTTATGGTTATGTGCTATTTTAATGTATTTAGATTGATCTGCAACTTGTTTTCATGTATATTTTTAATTGTTGAAGTTCTAGACATCAAATTCTTGATGTACATATGTATCTATGTGTAGGAAAAAACGAAAAAATAAAAATTATAGAAATCGGTTTACTCAGCGGTCGAATCGGTTAAACCAGATACCATAAACATTACGTGTTACTGCTTGGGATTAATAATTGATAATCCCAAGGAAATTTATGGAATCGTTTCTCTATCCAACATCATTATTTTTCAGATTTTAAAAATCCATCCTTATCCCTGTTTTTCGTGTTATCTTTTTTCGCCGTTGTAAAAGGGTCTATGCACTTCCTTTCACCTTCCTCCACTATCAGCCACCTTTTAGATTAATTCGGGAAAATAAGGATAAATGGTATATTTGGAACATTACCATATTTTGGTTTGGTGTTCATCTCATGTGTAACTTTTTGAGTTTGATTAGGTTACTACTTAGTATATTTAAATGTAATTGTTGATTTCTTTCAGATCTTTCCTCAATAAAAAACGTACGCAACAAGTTTTTTTTTTATTCTTCCGCTTATTCCCCTGTACGTCCCTCTTCATCTTTCCCTCCTGTTCCTCTGCATGTTTATTTTACCTTGGTACACAAGAGCCACCACCGGTGAATCGAGAATGACGATTTTAGCAAAAATTCTCACTGCTATTTTCCTCCTCTTCTTCTTCCTCCCTGCAATCGAAGGCTGATATCATATCCCTGAAGCTCCGATTTGATAACCGACATATCATCCTTTTCTCGGAGTTCGAATTCTCACAAACCGGCTACGTATCTTTCGGGATATCCTCTATGAGTGTCACCTCCACCTCATCACGTCAACCTGATCCTTCACGTATTGGTTTCATCCTTCAATCACATGAACTACAAAACCAACACCACTTAGAATTCCAACAAAATACTATTTGCCCCTTGGATTTCAAATTAAACTCGGTCCTCTTTACCTTCCAAGATCTTTCTGATCCTCAGTTTTCATTCAATAAATCATACCATATTACATATCCCGGTATGAACGCACTCTTCTTCGTAAATTGCAACAACGAATCCATGGTGACGATGGATGGTTGTGCAGAGCTCTACAACATCGATGAATTAACCAGAATAGTTTAGCATTTAAATGTCAATGCAAAGCACCATATAAACCTAAATTTATTGTTGAAAGGTGGTATATATGTTTGACTTGAAAGTCAAATGGCAAGATTCAAATATAAGGGCTACAATCTATATTACCAGTAATAAAACAAAAAAATTCAAACCAAATTGGACCATTGATGCTAGTCCAAACCGTTTTGTCCCAAAGATGCTAGTTTTGACATACCACATGAACCATTCTTGTAATTTTGTCTATGAATTAAGCAGAATAGTTTAGCATTTAAATGTCAATGCAAAACACCATATAAACCTAAATTTATTGTTGAAAGGTGGTATATATGTTTGACTTGAAAGTCAAATGGCAAGATTCAAATATAAGGGCTACAATCTATATTACCTGCAAGTATATAGATTACATGAAAGAAAGTGTAATGAGATCTTTCAAACATCAAGATTCCATTAAAACATATATATGCAACTGATCAAATGCAAATAAGACATCATATACTTCCAAATGGTTTTATTTGGTTGGATTCAAAATACATTGTTATTTAAGTTGTATAATTTAATCTTTTTTTTGTGGACTGTCACTTTCCTTTTAGTATTTTGATATTGCAAATTACCTATTTTTAGTTGTCTTTTTAATTTAAGGAAAATATGTTGCTATTTTTACTTATTATATACCTTACCAGTTTCACTCTAATGTGTGGCTATTTCCATACGCAAAACATATAAGGTATGTACTAGGGATGAGCATTTGGACCGACGAACCGGCCGGAACCGGTATTGGAACCGGAATCAGAATCGAATAGAACTAATCGAGCCGAGACTGGGACGATATTCTTGTGGATTTTTGGAACTGGGAACCGGTAGGAATCGGAACCAGTAAAACCGGAAAAAACCGGAACCGTATATTGTTATTTCTCGAGGACCGGTTCCAACATTGAAAACACGACAAGAACCGGTAGCAACCGGAATCGATAGAACCGCCGGACTGGTTATGTTTCAATTTTCCACCAAGTTCGGTTCCCAAGCCGGTTCCGGCCGGGCCGATTCTGATGCTCATCCCTAGTATGTACAAAATATTAGGAATGCACTTTGTTATTATATATTACTTACATATCCGAACAAATTTATTTACAAACCTTGGATCTTTAACCAAAATCTATAGACCATTTTCTGAAGAAAAAAAATTATAAATAGGAAAAGTTTTTTCGGAAACTTTTATAAATATGACTGTCGTTTCTACAAAAAAGTAAAGTAATGTTTGTACAGATAAAAGAGAAATCTCCAGAAAAGTCTCCCAAAAGAGTTTCTATTTAGCCAAGAATTTTTTTAATAGAAAAACCTAAGAAACCGATTAATTCTTACAATCTAATCCTTTTTAACATATTCACGTGACCCTGATGTGTCACTCCACCTTGGAAACCTTTATTTTTTATTTTATTTTTATTTTTTAAATGCAGGGAGGGAGTCACGAACCTACGTCTCTCATTATTGGAGCTTTTTATTTTTTTAAAACGAAGCAAGGAGTATTAGATCTTGTGTCTCTTCTTTACCAAACAAGGCACCTTACCAATTCAACAAGAGGAATTACCTTACCAATTCAGTGGACACTCTGATTGATGCAATATTTCCTTCTTTGCAATCCAACGGCACCCATTCAAAATTTATCATTTCGAGGGCGATATTGTCAACTAAAAATGAAAGTGTTTATGAGATTAATAATAAGTTGATCGAACAATTTTCTGGCGAGCAAAAAGTTTACTATAGTTTTGATGAAGCGGAATGTAACATCCCAAATTTCAACACTAAAAATTTCTTTTATAAAACATTTCTTGAAAACACATTTATCAATTCATAACATAATCAGAGTATATATTTCAAAACACATTTTCATTATCAGAGCAAAATATCCCAGGCTGTCAAATCTATGGTGTGTGCCATGCGATCACCCCGAGATCCTCCCTCCGTTACCGGAAGTACATGAAACCAAAACTGAAAACCGTAAGCATGAAGCTTAGTGAGTTCCCCCATCCTACCACATACCATGCAAAAACACATACTGCACATATTGGGCCACACTCGCTATTTTGGGCCTCGCCCCCTACCTCGGGCCTTGCTCACAACAACGGCCTCGCCGCTCCAGCCCCCGCCTGGCTTCGAGCCCCGCTCGGATACAGATCTGTTTTACTTAGGCCTCGCCTGTCACTGGGCCTCGGCTGCTAACATATACTACACATAAACATATCACAACACATAAGCTAAACATGTACTACTGAATATGATTCTAAGGCCTCACCTATCTTGGGCCTCGCCCATGTCCTGCAACTGATGAGTCATGGAACCCCGTCCACACTCCTACTGATAGTGAGATACGGGCCCGACCCACACTCACTCTTTCCTGACCTGGGCCTGCCACTGCTCTTCTGCTAATGAGATATGGAACACCGTCCATACTCTGCTGTCGTTGAGATACGGGACCACACCCACACTCACCTCCCTACCAGGCACATACAAGTACCACAAAGACAATAAGAATAACTATCATGCAAACCATTCCTTGGGCACCCGCCCGCTACTCTGGACCTCGTCCTGAAAATCACACTAGCATGCTGTGCCTAGGGCTAACCCCCGGGTCTTCTTACTCATAACTATATGGGCCAGCATTGTGGCCGTAAACCCATTCACACAAAGGGAAACTCACCTACACTTGCTGAATTCGCTGACAACCCCTCTAGCTGTTGCTCGACAACTCTCTGAACTGCTGCTCCCCTAGCTCCCCGAGCTACCAAAACCAAACATATAACACTCATCCCAACTGACCTTTAAAAAGTCAAATAAGTCAACTCTAGTCAAATTCCATGTCCTGGTCAAAGTCAACCATCCAGGTCAACCCTACTCGCCGAGTCCACCTACCGACTCGCCGAGTCCAAGGGAATCTTCATCCGACTCGACGAGTTGTTCTTCCAACTCGTCGAGTTCCTGCCCAATTTATCCAACTCGCCGAGTCCACCCATGTGACTCGCCAAGTCGCTCCTGTTCTTAACCCATCCAGTGGCTTTTCGAGTCATGCAAGGGTTCCAAATCATAGATCCATACTCCCAAAGCCTATCCCTCACGTAAAGTTGCAAACTTTACGTGAAACTAAGGGGCTATAAGCTTAAAACACTCTTGGGCTAGGTTTAAAGGCAAAAAGGCCTCACCAACTACTCATCTTCTGATGCTTTACAACATATTGGACCATCCCATCATTAGATCTGAAGTGGAAACAACATATCTAGGCCCCAAACTCGAATTGGGTCTCAAACAACCATAAAACCCCCAAATCTCATAACAAAATTCGATCTAGATGCAAGGGAGGGAAGATAGCAACTTATTACCTCCAAGATGAACACAAACTGAAGTAGATCTCGGATCTACACCTCCCCTTTGAAGCAACCTTCTTGATCTTCAAGTTCCTCTCCAAAGTTTCCTTCCTCCAAAGCTATTTCTCTCAAATGATGGAAGCTCCCACGAAATCTAGGGTTTACACTCTACAGGTTCTCTAGGATGATATGGAGGCTGAGGGAGGGGCATAACACCCTTTATATAGGATACAACTCCCGGGATTAGGGTTTTCCTCGTTCAGACCAGACTCGCTGAGTCCCCTTAGATGACTCGCCGAGTTGGTCGCTTACTCCTTGACCCGGATCCCGCTCGGACTCGCCGAGTTCCTCCTTGGACTCGCCGAGTCAGGCTTTCAACTTAGGGTTCCTTTCCTTTCTTGGCCTTCCTGATTTTGGGTGTTACAACTCTCCCCCACTTAAACTAAACTTCATCCTCGAAGTTTGCAATGGCCAACCGCTTACGATCTGCTTCCAATACTCTACTTATTAATCCAACACCCGTTGCCTACCTTCGCTGGCCTTTTGCCCGACTCTCCTGCCGACCAATAGTCTTTGCGAATAATAATCTCGGGTCAACCCTGACCCTGAACATTCTTGAAACACAACTTACTCAACCAAAAATCCTTCTAGTACTCTCCGAGTACCCATTCTGAACACCCTGGGGATTTACCCCTTTCTTTCCTTGTGCGATTTATGGCCTTTCCAAGGCAACGTTCCATAACCAACTACTTCCTCTGACACTGTGAAGGTCATATCCTTCACTAGCTCCATCACTCCCGCTACTTCTAGTACGGGCCATTTATGCCAGTATCCACTAGACACTTCTCTCTGCCATAACTTGGTGTCGAGCACCTCTCGATTAGCTAACTGAATCCCACCATAGACTGCTTACCAGCACTGCTACTAACCAAAAACTTTCTGAAGTCCCTCTTCCATCTCCCGTATGAACGGAGACCACCCTGGTCCCTACTGATGTATCCACACCTGGGTTACCGGCTCCCACAGGTCGCCAATCCCAACACCAACTCCTAGTCGCTCCCAGCGACTTTCGAAGAAACTTCGACCACATATAACTGCTCAATCTATTCTGCCATACTGGCACTACAATCTTGGAATCCTTGATCCCCTAACTTGCCCCTAAGGTTCTTACCAGGTCTTGATCCCTACCTGATCACTAGGAGTAAAGGGCCTCACCCCAATCCTCCTAACTAGGAGATACGGGCCTTCGCCCACACTCCGCTAACAAAGCTACTAAGGAATGCTACGGCTTACCCGTAGTCTTACTACACCTTCCACCACTGACCACTGGTGAATGCTACGGCTGCCCCGTAGTCTTACAACACCTTTTACCACTGACTGCTAGTGAATGCTACGGCTGCCCCGTAGTCTTACAACACTTTCCACCACTGACTGCTAGTGAATGCTACCGCTACCCCATAGTCTTACAACACTTCCCACCACTGACAGCTGCCTGAAAACGATGCTGCCCTCCCGCTGCTCTACGATGTTTTTACATGCTGTCTCGACCACTAACTACTAATACGAAAGCATCCCATGCTATCATCCCTCAAGATCTTCATTCCGACTCACCCGAGTCCTACTGGCGACCCACCAACCTGAATTCCCAAC